GAAGTAGGGTAGGAGTTGGAGCTGGCTTTCAGAGTGGAGAGAAGAACTTTCTCTTGGCCCATGAGCAGCACTTCCATACGTTACCCATGTACCTGTTACTCTTAGACATCAGGATATTCTCATTCTCTCTTAACCTTCGATTGTGCCACCCACATATCTCTACCAGCAGATCCCAGCCACACAGCTAAGTGCTCACTGGATGGCCTGAGCCTTCCTCCCCCGAGCTGTGCAAGGCGTCCTGGGCCCTGGTTCTCTGTTGGTGCTCTCCCCGCTGTTCACACCCACACACACTTGAGTCCAACTTGGTGTTAGTTGCTTGTCCTACAGATTTGTGTTGTTTTAGGAAAAAGGATGCAAATAATTGTTTCCTTAAAGAAGACGAGGCCTGAATTTTGTGTTGTTCAGTTTTAGTTATTAATTCTGAGATAGATGTTCTATCTTTTCTGATTAAAGCTACAAAAAAAAGAAGAAAAAACCCATATAATTTACACATGACCTTTAACCTCCCTTCCTCAAATGTGTTTTGAGCAGGATCAGAGACTCCAGAGGCTGTGACCTAGAAAGCTCCACTGCCTCCACTCCACCTTCAGAAGGAGCCGCTGGTGAGCTGCTGTACACAGCTGTTCATCCACTCCCTCTCTCCCTCAGTGTCTGTCTGTCTGTCTGTATGTCTGTTTGTCTCTCTCTCTCTCATTAGTAGGGATGGAACCCAGGGGTGCTTTACCACTGAGCCATATCCCCAGCCCTTTTCATTTATTTATTTATTTATTTATTTTGAGACAGGGTCTCACTAAGTTGCTTAGGGCCTCACTAAGTTGCCAAGGCTGGTCTTGAGCTTGTAATCCTTCTTCCTCAGCCTCCTGAGTTGCTGGGATTATAGGAGTGTGCCATTGCCCCCGGCCCATTCTCTCTTGTTATGATTCAAAGAGAGTTATTTCATTATCTTCTTTCAGAATAAACCTCAAATATACTCACAGGATGTTATCTGTCAGCATACACAGCTCTCAATACACTGTAGGCTTCTCTGAGTAGAAGCTGGACTCTGGCCTTGCTCAGAGCCAATCACACAGTACAGTAGTCATGCAAAGAGTGGATAAAATCAAAAAAAGGATTAGGCCACAGACAGCCTGTGGAGGGGCTGGTGCAAATCTCAGGGTACCCTTTATCCCTTTGAAAAGAAGAACTTAAAGGTTTTGAAAATGAATTTGTCTAACGTCTCCCAAATAAGAAAGATTTTGTTCTTGTCTAGTCTCGCTATTGCAACTTAATCCACAGGCACGCTTCTTTTCCAATAAGATCTTTTGCCTGGTTAAATGTATTTGTTTCTTTTCATAAATACCCTACTTTATACTGGATATTAATCTAAGCACTTAGACATGATTAGCAAGCTAAGGGTTTTACTTATTAAAAACAGTTAATTTTTGCCTTTAAAAAAATTGAGACATTTGAATCCCTGAATATGCTCATTTATCACCCACCCCCAACAAGGCACCCAGGAGTTCTCCATGTAGGACATGAATAATTTTTATAAAAATGCAGTTGCTGACTGTGTCGTACATCCATGCAGCTTTATAAAACAAAGCAAATGATTACCATCAATTATAATAACCTCACTAGACAAGACTGCAATTAATCTCCAGCTCTTCAGATAACAACTATTGCACTATGCTAAGGAAGATGGCTACCATTAATTGACTTATCACGATCAGCAATGATAGATGGGGCAGATGGCAATGTGATTATTCACTGTCGATGACATAAACACACACTTTGTTGTGGGAAGTATCTACTTGGGTCCTCTCAGAGGATAGCCAGAAATAGAGACCCAGGTGGCTTCAAAGGGAGCACAAAATAAAAGTAAAAAGTGAAGCTATGGCATGACATGTATTTTTTCTTTTTCCTGAGGCGAACCCTCGGTAGAACACCATCGGAGGAAATATCTGTGGGAAAATCATAGATGGTGCAGAATTTCATGAATAGAAATTTGCCCGCTTGTGTGAAGACACCAGGTTCTGTTCAATACTCAGTAATTCCCACAATGGCAATTCACTGTTTTCCAGAAGCAAATTCATTTCATTCAAGAAAAAAAAAAAAAAGCTAAGCGTTTCTTGTTCACTAGGGCCCCTTTAAGGGGCTCAATTGGCCAGTTGCTTTTCCAATGGTCTGCCATATGGTATTTTTTGGAGCCTTCAAAATTCTGATTTCTTGCACTGAAATACACACCCCGTTTTTCTACAGACACCTCATATTGAGGGGCTTGGAAAGAAATGTGCTATACCTGTGGTCTACTCAGCAAGGTCTAACTCTACTTATGCTGAGGCTGATGCTCAAACCTGCCTTGGAACAATTGGTGTGTCCATGGGGAAGCTGCTCCCCAAGTCCAGTCAGTTCAGAAAGCACTGTAGCTTGCTATTTCCAGGAAGCAATTACCTGTGTGTGTTCCCTTTCCCCTCCTTTTTCTCTTTTTTTGTACAGTAAGGTTTTATTCTTTAAGTCTTCTTTAGAAAACTGGTGTAATTCAGGCAGAGCTTGTCCTGGAATTGACATAGAAATTGCTAACCAAAACCTCTTGGGGAAAGCTTTACAAAAACTCTACCTGAACCCCAGTTCCCTGAGATTCTGACTCAGCTGGATTGGGGAAGAACCCAGACACAAATGTTCTGACAGGGCCTCCCAGTTCTCAGTATTTATTTGCTACTCTTTTTAAAGGCATTCTTCACTGAAGGCTTTCTTCATTGAGAGCACTTCAGGTCCTCTTGAGGGAGCACTTCCTACACAGAGTCTTAGGCTCTCCTGGGAACTTTTGAAAAATGCAGATTCTTAGGGTTACCCGATCTCTGGGGTCTGGGGGAGGTCTGGAAAAATAAATACCCTAAGAGATCAAGTTTCTGTGCTTCCCTTAAGGATTCCGGGAGCACTAATTTAGTCCAGAATTGTAACTGTTCATGTACAAGTCACAAAACACCCTTATGACATATGGAAGAAATAAGTGATACAAAGAACTCTACGATGTAAAGATTTTAGCCTAGAACCCATCTATATTTTCACTCCTAATTTAAACAGTAGAAATACTTCCACTCTGAGACAGTGTTGTGATGGTGTCCAGGCACCAGGATAGGACAGTCCAGTGAGGGAGAAAAACAAAGGAATAACGGCAGACAAGTGAGTGAGGCACTAAACCAACAGTTAAAATAAATACAAATGTTAAAGTAATCTACATCCTCAAAAGGAAGAGTTTGTCTAACTTTGAATGTTTTCTAATTTAGACTGGCAGTCCCCAGTTTTGCACAAATTGGGAGTTTTTACCCTGTTTTTATCATATGCCCTGCCACACCCCGGATTTTTCAATACATGGCCTTTGCAGACATCCCTAATCAATTCTAGATTTTTCCCCCCAATAGATGGAGAAGGGAAACTCATACTCCTGCTTAACCCCATTGTCCATGCAGCCATTACTAATAGATCCCAGATAAAATGCTAGATGAAATCTGCATGCAGCTTCTCCAACACACAGTGCCCCTGACATGCCTCTGGCCTTTTCTTATGCTATCCCTCATTTCCTGCTTCATCTTCTGTTTTTTTGTCTTATCAACCAAATACTTCCAATGCTCCTTACATTTGAAATCTCACTTAAATTTTAAAATAACCTCGAGAGATGTCAAAATTGTGCCTTAGAAGGCCCAAGTAATATCCCAAGATAACACGGTTAGTGTGTATCAAAGCAGGAGCTACAAACCCAAGTCCTTTGACTCCAAAGCTGATGCTCTTAAAATTGCTCTTCATTGCCTCTCTTCAGAGCCCAGTTCAAAGGGCAACTCCTCTGTGAAGCTTCTTCTAACCCCTTCAAGTGAAATTTGTCACTTCTTCCTTTGAGTATGCCAAGGTCTTTGTACAGTTCTATTACAGCATGACATTATACTTTAATGATTTGAATATAGCACTCTTTGAACTCCTATGTGGTAGGAGCTCTCTCTCTCTTTTTTTCTTTCTCTTTCTTTTAAAAATCCCTGTATCCCTGGTAACTAGCTGAGTCCCCAGGCAGACTCTCTTAGTTGTTACGTTTTAAACACACATCAAAATCTGGCCAACGGACTTCTTCAAGTTGTGGGTCTGTTTCTCGGTGTATGACCCTACCACGTTAAAAATAATGCCAGGCAGGTTTAAACATGACCTGGATTAAAAATAAACAAACAAGCAAACAAACAACAACAACAACAAAACAAAGAGCCTTAGTGGTATACATGCTTCTGCAATTTCAAATCCTTCTTGTCATGAGTACAGGGCATTTGGGCATATGAGGACCCCCAATCCCTAGTTGATAACTACCCTTAAGTATACTGCAGTGAAATCAGGTCAAAATTAGCTACACCCTGTTTGTCGAGTGTCACATCACAGATGAGGTCTGTTTAAACTTTAGTTCCCGTTCTATAATTGAAGCCATGGTTGGGCTTACTGCTGTGGCCTGAGTTTTGTCTGGGTAGATGGTGGCACACAGTGACACTTACTGTTAATGGTGGCACACGATGACATTTCCATTCTGCAGATTCTCAGACAAACCATTTAGTTGCCTGACATTTATTTCACAGTATGTTATAGTTTTGAGCAAATAAAACCTATTTTAGCAGAAGGGAGAATTACAAAATCTGCACCATCATACGTGGCACACAAGGGGCTGATGGGTTCAGATGGGTACGTGAGGGGTGAGGGTTTGGGGTCAAATAATGTCCTGGAGATATAATAGGGCATGAGTCTTAAGAGACCTGCACCAATGTCTCACAAGATAATGCTCGGTTTTACTGTTTCATTCCCTGGGAGATATTGGGAGCTGGTTATAGACTTCCACACCAACATGCAAAAGACAGATGGAGAAAGGAGACACAGACCTTCTCGTTTCACAGATTCAAGGGAAATCTTCCCATCTGTTATTCCACCTTGGAAGTAAATAGGCACCAAACCTCATGAACCGGCACTTGACCTTAGTAGTCTGACGACCTACCTACCTCCCCAGAGAAGGCCTGTCCATTGAGGAGGTGCTCCGACCCTTGGCTGTCCTCACTCCCAAAGTGTAGCCGGATCTCCTCCAGCCGATGGCTGTACGTCATGGGACCTCCTGATATGTTGACCAAGTGCTCCTTGTCCAGGCGGAGGGACACATGTCTTCCAGTGTTGTACATAGTCCCACTGACCTGCAAGGCAAAGGCGGACAGGTCAGGCAAGGCTGTCCTTCCACTATGCCCCAAACCCAGCATGGTGTGTAGACCAATGCCTTTTCCTTCTTCTGATCAGAAGGCATTAGGCTAAATCCACAAGTGAAGTACGAGATGGCAGCCTTCCCATATATACTTCCCTTCCCTACCTAGCTTCTAAGGTATTCCCGTGAAGCGTAAACCACATTGCCATTTAGGAATTTGAGGTAGAAACTCAAAGGTGACTTAACCAACTGTGACTAATATTCTGTACATTGCGCCTTATAAAAAGATAACTTGTCCCTCTTACCATAAGTGTTTGGAAGGCAGAGACTCTGTAAAGTATCAAAAATCTCAGGTGTGAGAAATTACAAAATCTGCACCATCGTATAACATGTAGCAGCTGCAATGTGCTAGCTCTGAGCGGCTTTTAGAGGCCTTCCATTGGAGAGCGCAATTAGCAGGGAGGGATGCCAGGAACAGATGAGGGACAAGGAAGTCAGAAGAGATGACTAGGAGCAAAGGCTGGTGGGAGAAGGAAGCGCTGTGTGTTTGGTCCCAGGGGTCTGGTCCTGTGTTTTAGTTAGACCCCTGTCCTGCTGCTGCCACCAGACGTTGCACAGGATAACTCTGATCCCTCCTCGGGCTACAAGCCAAACTAGAGGGTCATACAAGTTTCCCGTTTCACCCAGCCCTGGATTAATTCCATAACCCTGATTCCCATCTTGCTTCGGTCCCTTCCAACTGCTATGCTTGCCACTCTGTATTCTTTTGCCTTCTTTCTTTTCTCTCTGGACTTGTGGTTCAGCTTCATTTTCTGGATTATGACCTTAGCACTTCCGGACAACTGACTCTAGAACATGGTTCCTATCTGGGACTCTACTTCCTTTCTCTCCTGGGTTGACTTAGCTCTTGGAGCAAGGTCTGGAGCTTAGGGGAGACTTTGGATGAGTCTAGATGGGATGCTTCTGGGTTATTGGATGCTGAACTACTTGGCTTCTCTTCCTGCTTACTCCCAGATTTCTGTGCAAGAGATTCCTTAAAGGTTTCTCCTAACTTCTGATTCCTTCGTTAGATGTGTCCTTATATTTTTGCTCTATGGCATTCACTTTTACCTGCCCATCCACCTTTCTGACCCTGACTTTGTTATTGATTGGTTATTTTAGTTCTCGGATTGCTCACCAAGCCCTCCACTGATTCATTTTTTTCAACCACCTAACTGTTAGATGGAGCCCATGTGACTGATGTTGGCCCTGGGCTGTGAGACATCACAAGTGTCACTTCACTTCCGGTCTGAAATCATGAAAAGTTTATGCACACTTCTGTAGTCTCTTCCTGCACTACATCAACCAAGGATATCATGTGGAAATGTAAATATGGTGCAGCTACTGAATGAATCCTGTGTCAACCAGGGTCCCTGGGGGATTATGTGCAGTTTACAAAAATCCATAATTCTACCCCAGCCTCACAGTGTCTTTTTCTGTGCCTTTGAGTCTGGGCTGGTTTTATTGCTGACTTTGGCTGACAGCATGTAGCAGCAGCAATGTGCTAGCTCTGAGCAGCTTTTAGAGGCTTTCCATGCTTCCAGGCACCATCTTGGAAACTTGAGAGTACCATGCAAGTAAACCTGGGCTAGTAGGCTAGGGGATGAGACCACAAGGAGAAGAGCCAACCCCGGAGAGACCAACCTAGACCAGCCAAAACACGGCTGATCCATCAGCTAATTGGCCCTGTCAAGATCAGCATGGCTTATAACAGACCAAAAGCAATGCCCACTGAGACATAGATTTGGAGCTAAATAATTAAGTTGTTAAGTTTTGGGATGGTTTGTCGTGTAGCAAAAGCTAACAGATACACACTAAGGCAATCATCTCTCTTCTGTGAATCTGAAACAGTCAATCAATACTCTGACAGAAGCGCTGGAGAGTCTCCATTGAGTGCAAGGTCACAGACAGTAGAGCTACTAGGCAGAGGAAAAGTCAGAACACAAGGAGAGAAAAATGAACCAGATATGACTAGAGAGAGAGAGAGAGAGAAAAAAAAGAGGGTGGGGCAGAAATTGCTTGAACTCCAGAAATCATTCATCCTTTTATCACAGTATTTTCAAGACCTGTGGTTTCTCAGATACTGCACATCTTATTGATAAAGTCCTTTTTTTTTTCTTTGGTTAAGTTACCCATTCCTTGCAACCAAATAGTCCTCTTTGAAGGCTCCATTTCTGTTCTCCAGCCTGAAATGCATGTATATTTAGTTGCAATGAGACTATGAAAATTTGCCTTTTTTTTAAGAGAGAGAGAGAGAGAGAGAGAGAATTTTTTTAATATTTATTTTTCAGTTTTTGGTGGACACAACCTTTTTATTTTTATTTTATGTGGTACTGAGGATTGAACCCAGTGCCCCGCGCATGCCAGGCGAGCGCATTATAGCTTGAGCCACATCCCCAGCCCAAAATTTGTCTTCTTTTTGTGTTCCAATTCATAACTTTTTGGCAGCCCAATGGTTCCAAGATGTTTGCAATTGACATTACTTCACATTTAAGTAAAATTTATTTTTTTTCTGTGGCATTACGTATGATTTTCAGAAGTTATAAAACAGCTCAAGAAAAAAGAATCAGCCACAATTCCACAATTCCAAAATCACTACTAGTATTTTGTTATATATACTTTTCACTCTTATAACAATATATAGGCACATTTTATGAGATCATTTTATGTATCTCCATATAGATAATACATAATTTTTCACATAGATATATATGCCCATGCCGTTAATATTTTTGTGATATCTCTTTCAAATGCTTGCATAATATTTCATTGTAAAAGTATCTAGTTCATTATTGAATTTTACACTCCTTTTACTTTTTCACTGTTGTAAAAAATACTATGATAAATATCCCTAAGGATAAAACATTTTACTAATCCAAGTATGTTTTGTGAGGCAAATTGTGGGTCAAATGGTGTGCCCATTCTTACAGTATCTACTATGTATTGCCAAATCCATCCATTATGGGGAGTAGATCCCATAGAGCTAGACCTATGTAATTCTCTTACAATGACATTGAGTTCAGGAACATGGGATTCAATCCAGGGACACCCAGACACATGCTATGTATGGTATGCTAGGCTGCATCAGGAGTTGTCCAGAGTTCTTACAGCATGTATGCTTTGTACCACTGGGCAAGTATCACTGGCTTCCTACATTTCTAGAAATCCACTCATCTGTGTCTGTCTAATGTTCCTAAGAAAATTGTTGCCCACTGAAGCAAGGCAAGGCCATATCGTATGCTTGTCTGCATTTTCCTAGTACTTAGAAAACACATGACACACAGCAGGTGGAAAAATCAAGGACTCTGGAGTCAAAAGCTTCCCAGTCTGCCTCTTGTTAGCTGTGTAACCTTGGGTAGTTGACTTCATCTCTTAAGCTTCAGTTTCCTTAACCATAAAATAGAGACAACAAAAATTTCCCCATGAAAATGAGAGACAGAAAAAGCTATAAGGCATTTTAAAAAACAGATAGCAAAAGGACACAGTCCCTCCTTAGGAGTAATTACTTTAAACATAAATGGGTTCCATTTACATGTGGTAGTCAGAGTATTCAAAATCATAGACACATAAAGTAGAATAGTGATTCCCAGGGGCCGGGGCTGGGGAGGGAGGAGTGGAAAGTTAGTTGAATGGTTATAAAATTCAGTTTTGCAAGACGAAGCAAGTTCTGGAGATGGCTGATGGTGAAGGTGGTACAGCAGTATGAATGTGCTTAATGCACAGAAATTAGAAGTGGTTAAGACAGTAAAGTTTTAGACTATATGTATTTTACCACCATAAAAAATTGATAAAAAATTCCCCCATGAGTTTGTTATAAATATTAAGTAAATAGCATATGCAATGGTCAAACATTTTCACTCTCTTCCTTTCCTCTCTTTTAGCCGCCTGCATGGTACCCAGCTGATGTGGAAGCATCTCTCTTGACCTTCCTTCCTGACTTCTTCCCTACTTCTCAGATCCTGATGCATTGCTTGTTAAATGTCAGAAGGGAGAACTTTGACTTTTGCATTGTGGGGAGCACCCAAGATCATTTTGAAGGCTTGAAATAAAAAGAGGAGAATCAAGAATAACCCACTGTGCCTTCTATTCTTCTACCTCTCTTCTAGACTCCTTCTGCACATGAGGTGCCATCTTCAGCCATTCACTCAGTCTGCCGTTACTCAGAAGATCATCCAAGTACCTGACTCTGTTAGGAGCTGGGGATAGAATGGTGAGCCTGGTCCCTGCTCCCATGGAACTCGCACTCCATTATGCAGAGATCTGAGTGGGGACAGGAAGCCATGGGAGTCCATAATGTCTAACATTTTGTCTATGTGTTCTTACAATTAGATGCAGTGCCCCCGTACCCCCACCCTTTCCCAAGACTCCAAAAATAACATTAATTTGTATTAATCAAAAAAAAGACGCGTAGCCAGGGTATGGTTTGTTGCACTTTAATTTAAAAATAAAGGCTTGACAACATTATGTATGATATCTAAATCGAACGGTACATCTGCACTGTAGTAATTAACATTGCAGCAGTGTCATTTTATCTGTAATGCTAATTACTGCGTTTCCAATGAACTACTTTGGTGCACAGCATGTTGGAGAAGTTTGTATTATGCAGCCCAGAAACCAGGACTGAAAGAAACTAAAGTTGCAGGGGACATTCTGGTTGCCTCTGGCTGCCCCCTCAGATCTCCTTTTGGTTTTTCTCTCAATTCAGTGCAACATGAGGTGAGAGGTGTCTGATGCCTATTTTACAAATAAGGGAACAGAGTGAGGTTGGTGAAGGCTTTGTGACTTGTCCAGTATCACACAGCGGGCAGGTGGCAAACCCAAAACCAGTACTCTTGAAATGAGTGAATACAAGTATCTTAGCCCATTTCAGATGAAAAGAATGTTGGGGATTTTCATTTCTTCTGCTGCCTCTAGATGCAGATCTTAGGCAGTTCCAGAGACATCAGGGTTCTCAAG